CATCCAAAAAAGGATTGAAGGGCTACTGTATTTTACAGCATATATTTTCGTCAAAAGTCGCTCTTACATTTTGAATCACTAATTGATGGTGCACTGGGAGCAAAGTTGGATTCCCTAACTGACAAGCTGGACTAGTTTCTACGTCTTACGATGGACAAGCCTTTTGTTACTTCCACGGACGAAAGTCACAGCCGGACCACCAAAACCAAAAGAGTTTCACCGCGCACTGTAAAGAAGATGATTGAACTTTGATTTTTCGCGCCGTATGTCTCTCTTAAGTCCGCTTTCACTGTTTAGAACTGATTCTAGAAAATGCTGCAGTAATATAAAAGTAAGAAAGTTAATAAAACTGTGATAAGATCGAAGGCTGAAATATAACCACGATTCAGTTAGTGAAAAGAATGTCTGAACAACGTTGGGCATGTAAACCCAATCATCGGCCAGAAGTCGCTATTTACCATGCTATATGCATCTAAATGATGAATGAGAGTGTCCTTTGACAAACATCACAGAGGATAAAATAGAGAAGGAAAATGAGAAGAAGCACGAGAGAGAGGAGTCGGAAGAGGATTACGCGATCGAATTCGCGAGCGACAAGATTCAATCCGCCGTCATTCATTAACGACTGAAAAGGCGAAATACATGAGTGTCATGTATAGCACAAACTGCTCGATGTGACAAATCCAAAATCAATAAAAAACTCGTAAACATCTCTAGAACGGTAAAAGAAGCTCTAGCACAAGGTGGCCAATAAAGAGATTCACTTCACAAGAGTTTTCTCAAAAATTACTTGGATCATCGGGGCGGGAGAGCGGTTCTCGGGCGGTGGCAGCGAAAACACGGGCTAAAAAGGCCTGAGGGCGGACACCCAACAGCAGATCCCTTAGTCATCTCAGTGCGCGACACCAACGTTGACTGAAACGATGGAACAGAAGGTAAATATGGACAGAAAAGACGCGATTGCGTACAAAATCAATTGGATATCAGAATCTTAAATTGAAGTTAATTAATGCTAGTATAGAGTAAAATTATGAGGTTTACAGGAAAAAAACAAGCCAGAACGATAAGGAGAAGGAGCGTTAAAACAACAAACTACTTCTAGTAAGCTAAAAGAGAGCTTTGAAAGTGCTGACCGCTTGGCCGTCCGACAAGACCGTATGGATAGTTGAAGTTCGGAAAAATTTCATTCAACCTTCCAAGGAATTCACGATGTCGACGAATATTTCAATATTTCCATGGCAGGATAGTGTAACATTCACCGGCCAAATCTTCATTCAGAAATCAATAAATTAGTGAAGTTCTCTCTTTTTTAAAACAGTCACTCTTCTGTAATCGTTTTACCAGAATTCCAAAGATTCTGGTGAACCAGTCCGATGCGGATCAACCATTACATCATGCTGACCAATTGTGGTAGGAATTCGATAAGTTTTGTTCCATTGAAAAACATTGAACAGATTCATTTGCTTCGTTTGCTTACCGTTCAGCACATATTCCGCAGTTATTGAGCCTTCACGTCATTCCGATGTTTCCAGGATGATAAAAAATTTTCGATTGATCACGAAGCGTTTTTTCACATATACTCTATTACATTTAAGAAATTTGAAAGACTGACATATCGCCTTGAGATGGTCGTCGTTAACAGCTGGTGGGCACCCACAGCTTCCACATTCATTTAGGCTAATACCTCCTTATATGAAACTTGTCGAATATCTGCATAAGTTTTAGCGACATAGCTTCATTTCTAAAAAATCTTTCAAGGATATCCTTTTTTCTCCTACAGAAGTCTACTCAATTTAACATATGAGGTAAATTGAGACGATCCTTCTAATGGGCTGTGTAAAAAATTTGTGCTATTTTGTTTTTCAATACGACTTTTGCAATGATAATGCACATCTTTGGTATTGTTTAACTGCGTATTTTCCTACAAAAATTTGGTGTACAACCGGCCTCTTGCTTTGAGATGGAGCTCCCTTGGGAACAAATCTGCTTGCTGCTCATGCACGAATGCCCCGTAGGAGAGAATGGGTAGTGAAGCGGCGCGCATGATTAATAAAGGTTGAGGCAATGATACGGCTACAAAAAGGACGGCTGGGAAACGGTTCGCGAAGTTCAAAGCTGGAAGACTAGAAAGATCAGTCCGGGAGATCGGTCACGCTCGGGCCGTTTACAGCAAACCACGTTAATCTTGCGTACCGCATACGGGCCACTCGTGCACGAGTAGCAAGCGAATTTGTTTCCAAGACAGCTCCTTCTTGAAAGAAACTATGGGCAAGTTGTTTACCAAAAGTTCGCAAAAAATGCGCAATTGAACGATACCGAAATCATGCTGCTAATTCACTGCAGAAATCATATTAAAAAGCCAAAATAGTACAAACGTCTTACACAACCTATTTCCATGAAATTAGTACGTATTCGTAGTGTTTCGTAGTAAGTACAAAGTATAATAGAAAAGTAAGATAAAACAAAGTGAAGTAAAATTTGACAAGTAGGTGAGATTAAAAGAGCGAAAAAGTTTTTTCTAAGAGTGGAAAATAAGGAAGAAACATAACGATATAAAAAGAACGGAACAAAAGCAAAGCAAAAATTGGATGGAATTTTGTAAATCTTACAATTTATAAAACGGTTCTCACATTCAACCTCATAACATTTTCTTAATGATTGAAGGAAATAGATCAAGTGCTATGGGGATGTTATACTGAAAATTATTTGATGAAAAACGGATCTTCAAAAAAAAGTAGAGCAAAGAAATAACGTAAGTAAATGACATAGTTGTGAAGAAAGATCGTGTGCGACACGACACGAATGCTGAGATACGAGCAAAACTTGGAATCTGATGCTTTTGTGTCATAGACTCAAACCCCACGTATACTTTTCCGGGGCAACACGTGCTTGTACATCGCCATCGAGACTCTCTCTCTCTCAGATTTTCTCTCAAACGAGTTTAAGCTAAACGTTGATTGTCAACAATCGTCCGCTAACGGGACTGATCTTAATTTAACGGCCTCAACTGTGTCACGCAAGCGCGCACAGAAAGTCAGTGCAGCGGTTTCAGTCTGCAAAAAATACCAGCATTCAAGTCTTACTGCCATCTCAGCATTCTTGGGGTTATATGGCACATCGCACTCTGCTGTTACAGAATCACTGTGGCACTAAGAGGAAGTTAATGTTGCGCTGCAAAATACTCACGGCAATTAAGATGCCTATTATCCTTGGACAAGCCTAGTTCTTCAATAAAATGTAGCATTCATGAATGTTACAAAGTAAATCAAATGTTTTCAGTTTCACGTCAGAAATGCTGGCCTAACACTTTCAATTCTTCAGTGCTTTGATGTCTCGGTACTGTGTTCAGTGCCTCCACGATATACGACTATCAATGAAGTGCACAACTTTGGTTGATCACTCATTCCTCTTTAGGCACGGGTATATGCTGTGTGTATCAAGTAAAAAGAACTCTATGCGTCATCACAATGCATTTTGATTCATCACAAATGTAGATGCATAAAGAATTTGTACATTCTAAGCCACTAGCTAGAAAACTGTCCATGGGAAGTATACGTGATCCTCCGAGACGGAAAAAAAGTGAATAATCTCATTTCTAAATTGAAGTTGATAATAACGAATTACAAAATTTCGATGGCCACGACAAATTCTTTCGCAAGTGAACACTTTTTCTTTTTCTCGAAAAGCCAACAGAAGTAAAAAATGATGATTGGAGAATGGTAAGGCGTTAAAAGCTGAGAAAAATATGGCTGTGAAGGCGACGACGTGCCGAAACATCATTCATTGCCTTTGAAGACAACAGACCAATCTTGCGTGAGCTTCAACAATGTGTAGTTCGCATGATAGTGCTGAACTAAGAGTGAAGAGATGAAGGAGTGGATCTTTGTTGCTACCCATCTTAACAACTGACATTGATGAGAAAAACTAATAGATGGCTATCAGTGAACAGCAATGCCCTGCGAGATACATGTGTTTTGACAATCGACGTTGATTGAGCTGATCAAAACAACAACAAGACAACGCAGAATATCTTTTATAATGCTTGATTAATCTATTATGAAGGTTAACAAATAGTCATTTTCAATTTTCTGTCTAATTTTTGTGTCAAAAACTGAATAAGGATTGAATAAAACACTTATTAAACCTTGTTTCTGTCCTAAAATATATATTAGACACTGAGATCGATCTTGACTTATTGTGCGGAGTTTTTCACTTCACTACCAACATTAGTAGTTCTTCAGTATTTTCAGTGGCATATAAATGTTAGAAGAGTTCGATGAAGAAAGATGTTGCCAATCAACCACCCCGAGTGCTGAAGAAGAAACTTTTGGGAGAAAATGTTAAAGTGGAATGTCTTCTTATCAAAAAAATATTCTCATGCTCTATAGAACGAGAAAATGTTCAAGTGCACCTAAAGCAAACATAGGTTGACATTCTCGCAAATAACGAAGTATCTAGGTGGGTAAAGCGATAGCATTACGAAAACATTCACGAGCCATATAAGGGTACGGCTTAATTTAAGTATTTACAAATGTCTTGTCTTATAAGTCATAAAAAATCAAAGTGTAGTTGATATGCACTGAGAAATGTCGATTACTATGTAACCTAGGGCCGTGAAATGAATACGATGAGAGATTTCAATATGACAGCAGAACAAAGTTTCTCTAGAGCAAAATGTAGCTTACAAGCATCATAAAGTACGAAGTAAGTAACCGTTGCGAGGAAACGAAACGAACACGAAGTTTTTAGCATCCATAAAATTACTAAACGTTATTAGTAAATGCCAACAATCCGAGCAGAACTAAGCAACGCTAACATATATCTTTTCAAACGCAAATACTTCAATTAGAAATAGACTGATTTTAGATGATTATCCAATATACAATATCTGTCAGTGTGACTAGCTTCAACGTCGACAGTCACTGTCCATGCCATACCGCTAATGGTTGGCTGCTGAGAGATAGATGCGATGTAGCGTAGAAAGAGCGGTGTTAAGACCGGCGTCGGTAGTGCAACGGTTCGAGCACGCGCCCTTGGACAGGGTGAGATGTGGGTTCGAGTACCAAATGACACAGAAGTTTTGCAAATCACTTTACATTAGAACTCATTTTATTGAAAAATTGTTGAATCAGCTGACAATTTGATAACATCATAGGTTTTGATTGTGATATCCCTTCCTTGTCGGGCGCAGGAAGTCTTAACAATTAGAAGAATCTTCAATAGAAAGTCGTCAAAGCTACTCACGGAGGCGATCAGTACTGTTTGTGGATAACTCACTTTCGTAGATACTTGATGGCTTCTCATAGTCACTTCATTTCTTTCATCCTCTCATGATTAGCTTCCAAGAGAACATCGTGTTTCCGTCATGGCATTTTCGGCAAGAATCATGGCGTGTAGAATCAACGCCAGTTATTCAACTGGATGCATCGAAGAATGTTAGTTGCACAAGTCACGTTCCAAGCATCGTACAAGCACTCTTTTGATTAATGCTGTTCGACCATGGTGGTATTTATCTCTTCGAGGTGAGCGCCGAAATCGAGTATGGCGAAAAGCTTTTGGCGTTCTCAATTCAGTACGATACAGTCACAATAGCTTGCGGTGAATCCGACCATTGCTCGCCTCTCACTGTTTCTGCAAATTTATTATCTCATAGGTGGCAATGATTTGACCGTTACTGTTTATAGCAATTGTTTATCTGTCTGTGTCTGTTTACAGGAAGACCACGACCCGTTGGTCCGATTTCTTCATGAAAGGTACGAAAGAAAGATATGATGTTCAACTAAAGCGAAGAGAACCCACTGGGCTACTACTGCACGCGATAGCGAAAAATGGAAGTGTTGCTGGTATCCGCTCGAGCCACTCGACAATCAACGGGACGACAGGTGATACAGGTGGCAATGTGCAATACGTGAAATCAAAAGGCTGCTAGTGTAATGATAGATTAGTTTTGTTTTTCGCCCTAGAATCTGAAAGTAGAATTGCTAGTTTGATCATAAATCTTCGTCACAAACAGTTATTTGTGTTCATCAGGGAAGGTTGGGTATTCGAGCTAGATATTTAACAGTAGGAATGCAAATTACTGCAGGCGTTCCTTTTTTCCCGTTTTCACAGTTTGAAAAGTTGGAATAGGTTGTCTCATACTGTACGTGGCGTTACGTGCTCCTACAATGGAGCAGCATAGTCTTGATCGATACAGATAATGCATTTACAGGACGCTGTTGTTTTTGCTAACTTATGTTAGAATGGATTTGTCTTTAGCGAATTTCAATGGAATATCTCATTGACGCTGTGGCTGAGTGGCTTGATGCTCTCGCGACGCATGTGGAGCCGAACTTCCACCGCTCTCCGGCTTTCTTCGACAGTCAACAACAGCCTTATGGAACATCACAGCCAGGCTATCTTGGAGATCACAAAGAGACTCGCTAACGCAGTATTTGACGACTTTCAAGAAGAAGACGATTAAATTAAATGAATGCCCGATTTATGAGATCCACAATGTTTTTAACCCTCTGAAGACGTGTTAATCAAGTGTCCAACAATCTCAGTGACGCCGTAACCCGATATTTTTCATGAATCAATAAAAGTCGCTGCGAGAAGGTTGTTATGGCTGCTTGTTTTGATTCAAATAGTATACTATATAACAACTCTGACTGAACATAGATCATTTTTTATGCCAAAAATGAGCGATGCATTTCTAGCACGAGCTCATTCAGTAGATTGCAGCGCTATTCTAGTAAATGAATCTTGTGGAATAATAATCTTTCTATTCTGTAGAACCCTAAACGTCCAATTACGAATTACCGCACTTTATGTGACAAAATTTAAGATTATAGCAGCTTGTTTTTGCTATTTGGCATTACGACTTCGCTAATCCTTTGTCCGGTTTTCTACTAAGAGCCATGAAATGTAGAAGCCCATTAGGCCAAAAAAAAGTATCAGTCTCAAGAATTCTGCGAAAAAGGCAGCAAAAATGCAACCAGCAAAGAAAAAGAAAGAAAGAACTCCTTAGCCAGTTTTTTGAAAAAGCGAATGATGAGGCGACAAAGACGCGCCGTTATTGCTATCTCATTCCACTAACATAGACGAGCCGTCAAAAAACTCTGTTGAATCACGGATGAGTGTCGAACACTATGATGTACAGCGGCATACTCATCCACCAGTTTATCTTCTTTAAGTATAGACCAGCATTTTGACCATTGGAAAGTACTGCACAGTTCAGAGAAAATTTATGCCGTGGTAGAACATATAAATAATAATCTCTTAATTAGAGGTGATAAAGGGATTAACATCGAAAGATTGAAGCCTTTCATCTTAACAAAAGCTGAGCAGCTTTCGATTATTATGGAAATGAAGTTTACATGTGCCAGCCCAAGCTCCTAGAGATTTAACTGAATTGCAATTAAGTGTGACAACAGGAACATACTAATAATTGACATAACGCAAAATGGGGAAGGCTAACCGGAAAAGAAAACTGGCAAGACGTGCGATGGCTGAGTAGTTAGTGATGCAGACTAGTAAAAAGCGAGATACTTGCTTGACACTTCTCCCCGCCCCTACACGCTCTTGTAATCAATCAACGAACGGCCTAAGGAACGCCTCAGTTCGGGTTCCTCAGAGAATGTAAGGATTTGCCCGATCAACGTTATGCGTCGGTCATGTGGAAGAGGAAATCCTTAAGCAGCAATCAAAACAATGCAAAATCGGCAGACTTTCATTGAGGACGATGTGAGGAAACGAAATCGAATGCTAAAAATTTTGAAATCAATATGTCAGGTAATCATTTTTTGAGCCATGCATGTGGTCTGTTATATAGGGGTGACTTCTAGAACCCGATACACGTGTTTCTCAGTCTCATCAGTCGGGCAGTACCCTTTCGTCTTTAGCCAAATCCTCTCGGGCGCTCAGTCCCCTATATCAAGAGTAGGCGACAACAAACATTTTATATTGTAAGTCAAGTGAAATTTTTATTGAACAGACAGTGTTGTACACTCGATTGCTCTTGACTGGTATCGTCAATAAATCATACCTTTCCTTTCGAGCGTTTTTTTCAAGAACACGCCCTCGAAGTTCAACATGCCAGATAATCATTTCTATTTGGTATTGGGATATTCACGTATTAAAATGTAAGTCATTTCCTGAAAAATAAAATCATACGTATATACAAATGCACATATATGCATATGTATATGTGCATATATAATGTGCATAGAGAGCTCGTTTGGCGCACTGGTTGGAGGTGGCCTGCGACACTCTCGTAGACGGCATTTCGTTCTCGCGTTCAACGTCCATTAAGCCTTCCATCTCTCCATGGTCGGTGAACTAGAAGTGCACTTGTTTGTGAAGATAGCAGAACTGACTTCATACACTGTTAGGCCAGCGAAACTCATTGTTAAAGACCTGATATACCCCCAATCACTTCAAACCATTTGTGATGAAGTTAAATGCATGATACATCTTTTAAGTATTAATCGATTCCAAGGGATTATTTTTTATATTATTAAGAAGGTAATTTCGTATTTTGTTGGCGAAAACATGAAAGGCCATGAGTGTATAACCCTTCTTGAAGTGACATCATTTTGCTCGGAACATAACGAACGAATACAAGTGGATTGATACGGATCCCATGAGTACTAAACTGCCCAACTAGCCGTCGTTAGCCACATTGAAGTATCACGAGCTTCAAATGCGGCGTTGATTATGATGAAGGCATGCCCGACTAAAAAGAAAATATTGAACCAGTTGGCCAAATTTAAAAGCTTTGAAGCATTTCATACTTCAGTAGATTCCTTTTCCAAAACAGAATCAATAAATAAGATGGTTGTGTGAGTTCTCTTTCAGTGCGATTTGTCAAACCTCAGAGGAGTGAGGGATTCATTTTAAGCGGCCACTGTCAAATAAATGCTAAACAGAAAATTGCTGGACTCTATAGGACCGAGGAACAAGTTGATTAAAGCCAAGACGTGCGTTGATTCGTTCCCATAGCCACTATGAAATCGTTTCTCGCATCGGCCACGCTCAATGTAAACGGACTTTATGGAAAAATTTTTATTTTGTTCTATTTATACATTTACACGACCCGTCATCATGTTTTATTGTGCGGATCCCAGTACTTTTAGCATTCGATTCGTTGTTCGCCTTCGTCTTGAATGAATTAGAGTACTGGTTGAGCGAGTCTCCTTGCAATATCGAGGACAGCCTGGCTGCTGGGGGTGGTGCTCCGCTCCACGCGCGCCGTAACCAACATCACAACCACTCGGCCACGACGTCTCAAAAATGTGATATGGTGCAAATTCATTTAGATAGATAGGCTGATGAGAAATCTATGGAAAACGTGTTTGGCTAGCGTTTCAATGTCTTTATTTTCTTTATAGGCAATCAGAAGGAGTCATCACCACCGAATAACTAGAATGACAACAATCATATATAAAAGAGCATCGCCAAGTGAGGTTACTTAATTCTAACGGTGCGTCACTGATGAAGAATCGGCTCGAACGAAAAGAAAGAAAAAGATCAACGTACGAATGTGCGCAATCGACTTGGATCGAAGAAGACGAAGATGTCAAACGTTATGTAAATGTGGGCCGTCCCAAAAAGATGTAGACCGGTTTGAGCCCATCAATCACATTAGCTTGAAAAAAAAGTTAAGAATTGTGATTTCAACAATATCTTCTGCCTAATTGGGATACTATGTCGATTTGCGCTCCCTAAATAATTAGCGTTGACGGGTAATTGCTAATAGCTACCAAATAGTTTAAAACATAGCAAAGGAAAAGGTAAAGGACCTTCTTAATACAGAAGTTGATTAACAGCCGGACGCTGTTGATTCGACTGCTTCGAATCTGCCAAAAGTTCCAAGTTTTGCTCGTATCTCAGCGCTCTTGAGGTCCTAATATGCGATAATCAAAAAAGTAGTGGCAGGACAATTATATCCGCTTCTGATAAATAGTAAATATGAAAGTTATAATTTATCTCATGTAACACGAATGAAAGACGGCGGCACTGATAAAACATGAGTTGATTTTTTGTGATAAGATCATATGTAGCGAAGAATGTCTATGTTCTGCCAAAATCCCT